ATTTTTTGGACACGAAGTTCATTTGCAGAAATTATCTTATGGTGACACGTCATAATTTGTGTTTTCACATTATTATTATTATTATTATTATTATTATTATTATTATTATTATTATTTCAATTTTATCACCATATGATATGAGATGATATTATGAGACATCCACTTTGCTTTGATGTATTTACAAAGTATAGTATTAATACGTGTAATGCATATGTTTACACAAGTACAATCCATATACAACATTGTAAATGAATAGAGTTTGAGCTGAGCTCGATTCATTAACTAAATGAGTTATATATCGAGCTCGAGTTTAATACTATTATCAAAACTATCAAATAACCTTTGGCTAGCTTATATGTAAATTTTGGGTATAACTTTATAAATAAGCTCATTTAAATTTTTATTTCAGCTAGTTTATTAGTTAGTTTTACCAAATACTTTATCAAATTAGCTACCTTTTTAGACATAACCTGTAAGCTCGAAATTTACTTAGCTAGGTTATGGTAAAAGTAGCTATATAAGAAAGCTAATACCTGATAGTTTATAAGTGAATTTCGAGCTTATAGCTAATAGATTATGGATGAAAATGTTGCTGATAATATAAAATGTTTGGTAAAATTAGCTGATAAACCAACTGAAATATAAATATTCAACGTACTAATTTGAAAAGCTATCAAAATCAGTTTATGATATAAGCTCGAGCTGTTTTGAAAAAACTCGTCTTATCAAACCAAACTTGTTTGTATATAGAAAACTTATAAGATGACCAAATAAGCTATATGAATTATCAGCTAGTTTTACCAACAATATATAACTTAAATACCTTCGAATTTTTTGTAACTTAAATACCATACATATTATCAGCTAGTTTGTTACATATTATTCGCATAACTGTCACATATCAATCGCACAATGTCTCTGCACTTTTGGGAGTAAAAAAATTAACTCAATCAACAAGAGAGGTAAAAATTAGGGACCAACTTGTTTATTAAATAATTTACTCACATTTAATTCATACTCAAAATCTAACTCAACTTTAACTCAACCTCACTATCCTTAATATCATTTATATAATTAAATAGTACAAAGCAATCATATTAACACATTATATCAACTTTAACTCATTATTCATCCACTAACATAATTTTAACTACCTATAATTTTCAATCATTTATTCTCTACTTTTACATCAAACCAATATTAATCATTTTATTTTAAATATGATTTTAATATAATCTTAAAATTTCACTGACAACTAATCATACCACATTTTTAAAATTAACTCTAGTAACCAAAATAACTCATTTTAACTGAATTATTTGATAAACAAGCATTCACTAAAAAAACTTAATATATTTTTCATAATGGTTAGTGTGGGGTTGAAAAAACTTTATTTTCACTTATAAGTTATGGGAAATGTTATGGTTACGAAACCATTCAGTCGGGTTTGTAACTGTTAGATCATTATGTAATCGATGGAGATAATTAATTTACAAATTTCAACGAAATGGTTCCGTACATGACTGTAGCATCTCCCATAAGTTATAACCATATACCTTGACCAAAAGGGACCTTTCTATTTTATAAATCCCATTTTTGGCCCCCACAAAAGTACTATAAATACCCATCAAAACCCCTTCCTTTTCAACACACGCTCACTTTTACGTTTCCTCTTCTTCAAAGACGAAAAAAAAAACAAACACCAAAAACAGAGACCTAAAACCAAAACACACACACACACACACACACACACACACACTACATTTCTCATCTTCTCCTACAAAATGACTAAACCAGAGATGATAAAAAACATCCCCTCAAAATCCCAGTGCAAGAAAAAGTACAAGGGAGTCCGAATGAGGAGCTGGGGCTCATGGGTCTCCGAAATCCGGGCACCAAACCAGAAAACC